CCACACTGGGGACTAAGCTTCCAACACGTGAACCCTTAGGGGACAACTCACATCTAAAACATAGCACATTACAAAAGGGATTGTGTAGATATAACTAAGTTAAGGATATTGTTACTCAGATGCTTTGTACCTTGTTGGATTTGGTACTTGATATATTTTGACAAGAAAATGTCATCCCCATGCTTGTTGTATGGTACTCCTCACACAAGCTAGAACTTGCAGGTGGTGACTGCCTCATGACTTGCTACCATTTCCATCAAAAAAAAAAAATTGTTTGGTACTTGTCATGTTTGGTACTCATCACTTACTTCCCAGGACCCATTAATGATGAGTATGGAGGTGCCACTGTGGTCACAAAAGTCCTTAGAGTGACAGAATGTGAGAGACAGAGAAGGGGATGTAATGATGGAAGCAGAGATGGAATGATGCAAGGCTTTGAGCAAGGAATGTTGGCAGCTTCTAGAAGATGGAAAGGCAAAGAAATGAATTTTTCCCTACAGTCTTCAGAAAGGGCCACCAACGTGTTAACACCTTAATTTAATACTGTATTGGAGGGCCGGGGATTTAGCTCAGTGGTGCCACCACCTGCCTCACAACCACAAGGCTCTGAGTTCGATCCCCAGTACCAAAAAAAAAAAATACTATATTGGAAATCTGACCCTTAGAACCATATGATACTCCATTTGTGTGGGTTTCACTCACTACATCTATGATTGTTATAGGAGCTATAGGAAACTAGTATACCATCATATTGGAGTTGGTGTTCATGAGTCTGTGAGTCCCTGGAGGGCAAAGCTGGGACTGGCCCATCCTTGGGTCTCTACTCCCGGTAGGAGGTCAGCACAGAGACAATGTACAGCTTCATGAGTGAGTGAGAGAAGGAGGGAGGGATACACTTCCTTCTCCTGGCACCAAGAGACCTGTTGTGCACAATAGGCCTTTGAGGTTCTATGGAATGAAAGGACAGGGGATTGATTTTATGTCTCAGCCAGAAAGTGCAATTTCCAGTGTTGCACACCCTACTCCACTACCCTGCTGTGTCCGAATACATCAGAGACACCTTCCCTTGTGCCACTGAGACCACTTGGCTTTCCTACCCAGCTCATGTTCAGGAACTCCCATGCACTCAGCCTCGACCTGGGCTCAGAAGCTCGGGGAATATCTGGGCTGTGGAGCCTTTACAATCACTTCATCTCATTTTCTCGCTAGCCTGAGCTGGAGCCTGAGAGAGGGAGAGCCAAGTAGCCAAACTGTGGCACTGAGGCGCTGAGATGAGAATCCAGCCCAGACCTTTTCTACCTGCTTCCCCAAAGGACCACAACACTAGTACCAACAGCCTCATTTCACAGTCGAAGAAAATGACACACAGAGTAGAGTCACTTGCACACAGACAGCTGAGAAGTACAACTTTTGAGCACCAGAGCCTCTCCTCTTAATCTATGCACTATACCGACAGATGGGGAAACTGAAACCCAAGAAGGGTCTAGAGGGTGATGGCGGAACAGAAAGCAGGTTATGGCTGATCTTCAAGTCAGAGTCCTCCAAAGCCACAACAGAGAAAGTGCCTGGGCTGAAACAGAAACCTTGAGAGTTTGCCTTCTTCAATTAGGCTGTTTGTTTTCCTCACCAGAGGATAATTTAACTAATGGCACTGGTTTTCTGACACTATCGATCGGCCAAGATTAAATATGTTTGTCACAGTCAAGTGAACTAATCACTTTATTGTATTTCAAATACTAATTTCATCAGATAGATGTTGGGGGAGTGACCCCGGGGGAGGTGCAGGAGATGTCCACGTGCACAGGTCGGGCGCAGGGAGAGGGCAGCAGCAGATCGATCGATGGAGCCGGCCTGCCTAGAGGTGGCCAGAGCATCAGGCTGCCTGCAGATGCCTGTGGCTGTGCACCTCAGATGGGAAGACCCTGCATTCTCTCCACCCTCCCCCATTACAGGGCCAGACCCCCTTGGAATTTCTCTTCTCAGGAGAGTCAATTCCTCAGGCATTATTGGAAAATGGTAGATGTTCCCAAATAGCTATCCTAAATCACCCCTTGGCCCCTGATCCCATAGCCACTCTAACTCTGCTAGATGCAAATGCTGCCTCTCTGAGCCATTAGCCTTTCCAAGAGCCATGGATTCACAGCAAAACCTGAAAATGAACTCATCTGTCTTTCAGGTTTGGATTACCTTTGCCATTCCCATAGCTCAGGATGTGGGACAAGGAGGCCTGAGGCTAATTAAATCACCCTCTGGCCCTGGTGCAGCTGAAAAACCTCCTTCCTGCCAGAGAGAGTAAGTTTATGCCCATGTGCACACAGAGACATACTTGCTCACACCTGCATGTGCACGGGCACACACAAACACACATACTCATGGATACAATACACACTGATGTGTATATGTGTACAACACACCTGCAAAATTTGCACATATACATGCATTATACAAAACATAGCTATGTGATGTTCACGCACCCAAATATGCACACACATACACGTGTGCGCACACTCACATACGTAGTACAGAATTCCCAAGGATCAAAAATGTTTCATAACATTTTGTGTATGAGGGTTGGAGCTTGGTTTGTATCCCTCCTACACTTCAAATATTGGAGACTAATTGACCGAGAGACTAAAGACACAGCCAATTTTTCTAAGGCTAGGCACAAGCCTGCCAACAAAACTCTTGTCATTTCAGTGTATTTAATCACATCAAGCCCAAACCATCTGCTGTTGCCCTGTGGCTGAAGAAAGGTAGGTGTGAGTAGATGAGGAGAGGGCTGATTCCCAGTGGAGCTTCAGGGACAGAGGAGTGACCTGGCACATCTGCACATAAACATGCTTACATGGATCCTACAGAAGGGTCCTTTCTAGAGAATACCCGTGTGTCTGCATAGAAGAGCCACTCAGATGACCACAGAGCCCTCCGGCTGTCTGGCTGTACATCAGAGGATGGAGTTCTTTCACTTGGACTGCTGCTGTTCACTGCCTCTTCCCCCAGCTTTGCACTTTATGACCACCTAGCAACTCTCGAAGCAGCTAGAGCTTTGGAATTTACCAGCCATCTTTAATAGATGCAATATTGTTGCCCAGAGAGGGGAATAGACTTGCTAGGAACAGCCAGACCAACAGTGGTGAGCTGGAACTGACTCTGGTACTGCCACACCAGCCCTTGGGAATTTCTGGCCAAGCCGTGCTGAGCTTCCAGAGCTGGCGGCGCTTTCTGCCCTTTAGGCAGTTTTGCTCTTTTTACTACTCCAATACTCTGCAATCTGGGCTATTCTTTCCAGAGAACCACAGGCCTGATACCAAGAAAACAGCTGCCCTGGTGGTGGGATTAAGTAGGCCAGGACTCTGTCCTTGCCAAGCAATCTCTATTTTTAGATGCTTATATTTGTGACTTGGAATCTGAGATCTGGAGCCTTCCTGGAGAGTTTGTTCAGGCTCTGAAGACTCATTCATCTTCAGGAATCCTAGTGGGTTGAACAAGACAGAAAAAACTAGCAGCATCTCCCTGGGGAAACATTCAAAGTCAGAGCAGCAACAAACAGATTTGCTGAACAGTTCAAATCTTTGAGCATCATTAAAACCCAGAGAGCTGTGTTGAGTGTGTAACCTGGCCTCTTAGTCTCTTTTCATGCTATGTAATTCCAGATGTTTTACCTCCTGAGAAGATCTGTTTCTCTATATGATGGAGTACCCGATTTGCAAAAAAAAATCCTGGTTCCCCTCAGCAAAACATCGACAGCATGCCAACCTCCATTTCATTTGTTAAAAGCCAGACCTAGGAAATGTTCCACACTTGGTTTTGAGGCCTGATGGATTTGGAATCAGAAGCCTGAGCTTTAGCTCTGTTCTGCCTTTTACTTGAGTGAGTTGTCTGAGCCCCCCACAGAGCCCAGGGGCAGAGCTGTATTAAATGCCCAGCCATATGGTCTTTGAACAAGAAAGACTAAAATACAACAAGACCAACCAGCAACCCAAGCATGAGCTGGGACCAGAGAGAAGCCAATGCTCATGCAAGGAAGGCCTGGGGGGCATAGTAGGACCCTTGACAAACCAGCCTTCATATTTCAGGATAGAATCATCAGTGCTCTGTGCTCAGTCCTCATTAGAATCACTGCTAAGGCCTTTTTTCAGTGGTGCCACTGTCATGTGTACTACTGACACTCAACATTTCCCAAGACCCTGTTCTCCTTTGGGGGTTTCCATGGTCTCCAGGTATCCTCTCTTTGTCTGCTTCCTCTCTGCAGGCATCTTCTCCTCAGCCTGCTTCTTGAAGGTTGGTATTCTCAGGATCAGCTTTTTCATTTGTCCATTCATCCACCCCCTAGCATTTGCCTATCATCTATGTCCATCACCTGTCTATTTCTTTTTTTTTTGGTACCAGAGATCGAACTCAGAACCTTGCATTTGTGAGGCAGGCACGGCACCACTGAGCTAAATCCCCGGCCCCATTACCTGTCTATTTCTATCAATCAATCATCTATTCACTCCTGAGTCATCTCATACATCCCCACATCTGTACTGGTGACTCTACAGCTGCAGACTTTCCTGTCCACCTGCCTCATAACTGTTCCACTTCATGCCCTGTAGGGATTTTTCTCACAAAATGAGTCCAGAAGCAAGTGGTGTCTGATATTGACTCTGCAGCTCAAGTATGTCAGAGCCGAGGTCTCTGTGGTTCTCTTGGTTTTTCCATTATGGTTGTATGAAGGCAGCTACAGTGCCAGTCATCTCATCTGCATTCTAGACAGAAAAAAAGAAGACATGGGGATGGAGGGAAAGCCTTGATGGCTTAGAAGCTTCTTCTAAAGAGTCTTCAAGAAGCTCCATCCAATAGCTTCCAGGTATATTTTCTTGGACACACCTACCTGCAGGGTGGCAGAGTGTCCTGTCTTCATACAGTTTTAGTGGATATGCTGCCACCTCATTGGGCCACCCCCCCGTCCCTCTTGCCCCTCTGATGAATCCCTTCCCACAGCCAGAATGACTATTCTAACATGAGACCCTGTGCCATCACCTTCACCAACACTTTCCCTAGGCCTCTTGTCCCTGGATTCTCCTAGGTAAGAGTCACACCTTCAGGGTAAAATTCCCAGCATAGTATTCAAGATCCTGAATTTTGGAGAATGAGCATAATTTTCAGGAGCTGAAAGTTGTTTCTTGGCTTAAATGTTCCTAATGTATTTCTAAAAAGCCATCCTGCAGGGAAAGAGTGGCTGGTAACAGGATTTAACAAACAAACACATTAGCTCTGGCCTGCCCAGATAATGAATGGAGGAGAAAACTCTCTATCTCACTGATTTATATTGTTAGGGTTTCTTCCACAGGCCAATGTGGGAGCATCTTTACATCTCCCGCCTTCCATATTTGCTACAGGAAGGAAATCACATTTTTCATCAACCACAGGAGTTACCGAGCTGCAGTGATTTTATTTGTTAGGGATTGAACTTGGTTATTTCTTCAATTGGGACTGAGTCCTGCTGTTATGCACAACTTCTCATCCAGAGAGACATCGCAGAGAATAAATCAGGACCAGGACTCGGCATGACAGTCCACAGTCTGGCAGGGCCAGGGAGCTTTGGGGCTAATAGGGTCTCACAGCAGGAGGGACTCTTCCCAGCTGGGCTGGGGAGAAGAGGTGAGGGTGAGACTTTGAACAATGAGGGGGAAAATGTTGCCACTTCATAAAACTGATGTCAGTGGGTGAGTCATAAACCATACGGAGATCACGCTAGTGGCAAGGCCTCCGTGATGGGTGAGCTCAGGGCCTCCCAGCCTGAGGGCTGCAGCTGAGTTTTACTGGGGTCCATGAACCTGTGAACTTATGTGTAAATTTTTCTGTGCATATATGCATTTCCCTGGAGTTACCGTTCATAGCTTTCATCAATTCTCAGAGGTTAAGAACCACGGGTCTTGCTCAACCTTTTCATCATACTGAAGAGAAAACTGTGGAGTGCTGGGGAGAGAGGGAGTCAGTCATTTTTCCAGTGAGAAAGACACAGACTGGATTTAGAAATTAGGAGACTCAGTCTGCCCTTGCCAGACCCTGACTTTGTGACCCTGGGCTGATCACCTCATTTCTCTGAGTGTTTTACTACATAAATACTTAAGAAGTTGTCAAAGGGGTTAAAAAAAGAAGGTAATAAACTTCAACACCAATTCACTATACATGAGTAAATGAGGCTCAATAAATATTCTTTAAATCATTGAATAACTTAGAAAATCATTTTTTCAACTATGTCACATTCATTCGGCAAACATTTGTTGAGTATCTCCTGTACCAGATACTGAATGAACAGAGAGCCAAGGTTCCTGCTCTCTCAGAGCTGGCAGTTCAGTAGCAGACACCATGAAGAAAGAAAACCGTTGCTATTGCCATCACAGGGAGTTGTTTCATTGCCGATGGGATTGTTGTGATAAACTGTGAGCAAAGTCAGGACGGGGTGGGCAAACGGATCTGTAAGAGGACAGGAACCAGGGAAAGCTTCCCAGAAGAGGCAGCAACTAAGCTAAGACCTGCAGGAGAAACAAGAATTAGCCAAGGAAAAGAGGGTTGGAGCATCGTCCGGGGTAACAGCATATGCAAAGGTCCAGAAACCAAGGAAAGGTTGATGCAGTTCTTTAAGGAAGTAACCATAGATCAGCCTTGCTGTTTTAGCAGCTGCAAGCAGTCAAGAGAAGCTGTGCTGAAGCCCACACAAACAGCCAACATATCTGTATCCCCTTCATCTCTCCTCACCAGTGCATCTATGCGTTCATTTACTTAGTGTGGGCATTTTTATGCATAATCATCTCCTCTTCCCTGTCCAACTGAATGGAGCGCCCTCTTTCTAGCTGGTCTCAGTGATTCTCAAACCATCATCTCTATACAGGCAGAGGTTAGACAGGCTAATGACTTGCTCAGGTGGTGCTGGGACTGGAGCTCAGAGGGGCCAGCTTAGTGAGGTCTTGTTATCAGAGGCAGACAGTCACTGTGGGGCTTGCTAGGCTGTCCCAGGTTGGTGGAGCCCTCAGGGTCACTGCCCTGCCAGAGACAGCCTGAGTGATCACCCCAGAGTGATTAATGCCTGCCTCCCTTGGCCAGCCCTGAGTCTGCAGCCAAGTGCTGCTGTCATCTCTTTATTCTTCTGCTCCACCATTATTGAAAATCAATAAGCCGTCCAAGCTGAATGAAGTTCAGTGACTGGGACCAAGTCCATAAATCAAATAAAAACTAAATTATATTTTAAAAGGGAAATAGGAATAAGAGGGCTGCTTAAGTGTAGCTGGAGTGCCCAAGAGTAGCTTCTCAGAGACTCAAAGCAATGAGCAAGAAACTAGTACCAGGGAAGCGGGTATGAGGGCTGAAAGGGCCCTTTGAGCGCCTTACCAGCCTCCTGATTCTCCAGAGCAGAAGACAGAAACCTGGCAGGGAAAATTTCTCTTTGGTCAACACAGTGAGAAGCCCAGTTGGTTCCAGACCCAGGCTTTGAGTCTTCCAAGGGCCCATTGAGAGTCTTCCTCTCCTAACTGACTTCAAATCAATTAGAAACAAAGGCTGAATTGAAGTGAATTTAAGAGGAAACCAAAGAGAGAGGGTATAAATTTTTATGTCATCACTGTTTTCCTTTACAGTTTGGCCTTTCATGTTCAGCTTTCTAGTTCTAAGCAAAGATATCTGTTTCCAGCCAAAGAGTCACCAGAGCAGTTCCAGGAACTCACTCAGGGCTGGGAATTCTTCATGTTGTCCCCCAATCAAAGTAGAAGATCTCCTAACAGACTGGACCTTCACTCAGTAGGATTCTGAAAGGGTTTTGTCTGATTAGTGAGACTAAATTAACACTAGACTAAAGGCTGCTCTGGAAGCTTTCTGAAGATCCAACTGATTTCTATTCCAAAACAAAGTTTGATAGTATTTAAAGGAATATCAGCAGTGAGCAATGTAAAATGTACAATATCTAGAAGCTAAGAAAAGTTACTAAGCTGGTACATAAGTAGGAAAAATGTACGGTAACCAAATGCAAAACTAATTAATAGAAATAAATAAAAAATGTTAGAAACTAGCAGACAAGAGCACTAAAACAACTATTATGATCCATAAGTTTAGATAAAATGTGATCATGATCAAGAAACAATTTTTTTTAAGATTTGAAAGGATAAATAAAACCTGCTACATCTATGCAAGTACTACTACTCAGTAATAAAAGGAGTGGATTACTGATACTGGCAACAACATGGATAAATATAAAAAACATTATATTGATTGCATTTATATGACATTCTGGAAGAGGTAAAAACTATAGTAATAGAAAGCAGACCAATGGTTGCAGAGGGTAGAGAATGGGGAGGGGGAGGGAACTAACTGCAGTAGCATTAGCACACATCTTGGGAGCAAGAGAAATGCTTTTATTACTATCACGGAGATGATTATATGATGGCATATTTTTGTTAAAACTCATTGTGCCCAAGAGGGACTTGGGTGTGATTATAGAAAGGCAACATGAGGAATCTGAGTAGCCAAGTATTGTGACTGTGGTGGTAGATACACCAACTACACATGTGGTAACATGGTATTGAACTAAACACACGCATACAGATGAGCACAAGTACAACTGGGGAAAACTGAGTAAGATCAGTGGATGTTCTCAATGTCAGTATCCTGGTTGTGATTTTATATTATAGTGTTGCCATAAGTTACTATTAGGGGAAACGGTGAAGGCCATGTGGGATTTTCCTGTAATATTTTTTCCAACTGCATGCACATGTATGGTTTTCTCAATAGAAATTTCTATGAAAAACTCATTCCATTACACAAATAAAATTGTTAAATCTATTGTAAGTTTTTTCAGTGAAGCTCATCTTTAAAATTCTATTTGACCCTCTAAAACATAGTTATGTTTCTCCTTATAACTTGCTCTTTCATGTCAGCTTCAATGGGACTTTTGCTGCACTGAATGGAATATTACAAATTAGGGGTATTTGGGACTGTTGCATATGTTTTCTTAACCCCATAGTGAAAATGAAACCCCATAGTGAAACTTATTTTCTACTTGTACCCTATTGGATTTAGCCTATTCAGCAAAACAGCTATGGTTTATTACATGATGATAAGAGAAGATGCCCTATATAATTCCTACATTTTGGGATTTTTTGAGTTCCTTCATGGTCTAATATACCTCAGTGTAGCAGATATTTATGGGTTTTTTTAGCTGTGTAGTATCTGAACCCTTTTTGTGTTTAGCCCCAATACAATCAGTACTTCATGTGCATGGGTTCTGTGTCTGCAGATTCAATCAACCATGGATCCCCCAAAAAATCATCTGTATTGAATATGTACAGACTTTTAATCTTGTTATTATTCCCTAAATGATACAAGTGCTATTTACATAGCATTTACATTATATTAGGTATTAAAAGCACTCTAGAGATGATTTAAAGTACTGTATACAGTAGGGAGTGTCTAGGTTATGCCACCCACTTCCCCAGCCTCCCTTGCTACTAGGGCCTCAGCTGAGCTGAGCTGCCATGATATAAAGAAGTAGGAGCTCTGAAAAACCTATTTCTGATCATGACCTGGGCAATGCTGAGTTCCCAGAGTAGGTAAGGCATGATGGCAGCTGTGCAGATGGCTCATCCAGGTACAGTGATAGTGGCTGTCAGTCTTCTCTGGACTGGTCTGGGGGCTGAAGCCTTGCCTGCTGCTTGGTCTTCCTTTTCCTTGCCTGCTTTCCAATCCTTATTGAAATTCTTCCTGACAATGTCAGTGGAGGGAGACAGGCAATAAACATGATCAATAAATCACAGGGTGTGTTCAAAAGTCAGAAATGCTACAAAGAAATAGAAGGCCATGTAAGAAAAATAAGGATTTCCAGGGAGCTAAGGGAGGGTGGTCTGGACTTCACTGAGAAGCTATGTTGAGCAAAGACTCAAAGGATGTGGGAGGGTAGACGTGTGGCTATTTGAGGGCCTGTGGGGACAAAGGTTCTTAGTTGGGAGGGTCTGATAGACTCAAAATCCAGTGGGGATACTAGTGTTGTTACAGCAGAATAAGGGGGAAAGGAGGAAAGGCAGTAAACATTTTGAATCAAATCAGCCATAACATCACAAGTAAAGGCAGTCACAAGCAAGGACTTCCAAAACTGCTACAGGAAATGGCAAGAACAAAGGAATAAGTGTGTTTGAAGCAAGGGTAAGTATTTTGAGGAGTATTGATGGCAATGTATCTTTTATTATAATAAAAATTCTCAACATTTGTTGTATCAGTTACTCTGAGTAGCCATGTGGAGATGTTGAGTTGACAGTTGGAAAGCCAAGCCTAGATCCAAGAGGATATTTGGGGTGTGGATGTAAATTTGGGGATGTTAACAACTAGATGGTATTAAAGCTATGAGACCATGTCTTTGTCACTTTCTCATCAGTGGGGTAAAAGATCCACACTCACAATTTAAAGGAAGAGAGGTTTATTTTGGCTCATATTTTCAGTCTATGGTTGGCTGACTCCAGGGGAAGAAGGACATGGTAGAAGGGGCTGGTGGAGGAAAGCTGTTCACATCATGGTGGCCAGGAAGCAGAGCAAGAGGAGGAGAGCCTGGGAGGGAGATATATCCCACCCCCGGTGATCCTCCTCCTACTAGGCCCCACCTCCTAACAGCAAGTCATCTATACTGCCCCCCCATCCAATCACTTTCCATAAGTCCTATCTCTGAACGGTTGGGCCATTTAGGGCACATTCTAGATCTAAACCATAACTAATTAAGATAATGCAAGTGGGGACAGTGAAGAGAAAACATCCAAGGACTAAACCCTGGAGCATGTGTACTGTAACAAGTGTGTGTGTGTGTGTGTGTGTGTGTAACCAGAAAAGAAGGATGTGAAACCTAGCTGGTGTGGTTTCCTGAGGGGCTAAATGAAGGAAGAGGAAAGATGCTCAGAAGTGACAAATAATGTGGATAAATCACAGAAGATGATAAAGAATTTACCATGAGCCTTCAATGCATGAACATTATTGGTGAGGTCATATCTCCTGCAAAACTGTATATTGTCAGGCTTTACCCCCAGTCTTATGGGTGTGAAAGGTATGCCATTGTTGCTTCAATCTCCCCAGAGACTTACCCGGCTGTTTTCTCTGAGAATCTGGGCATGAATTAAGTATTAAGATGGCATTGGGTGGTGGGGGACTGTTAGTATGGCCACTCCAAAAAGCAGCCCTCCCTGGTCTGGTCTGGACCTAGGTTTGTGCAGGGTCCAAGAGCAGAGGAAGTATGAAGGAGCTTTTTGCCTGTATTTCATGAGACGAATTTGAGGAGGTTTGCCTGTCTTGTGTGAGTGCTACGTCTTGTTTTTGGGAGTCAGTCTTCTGTCCACCTTAGCCTTCTATGCATTTGTGAGGGATGTTATGTCTTCATTGTTGTGTTCCTTACAATATAGGGTGAGTGAAGGGGTAGGAAGGTGGTATTACCCAAGTGACATTTTAATATTTTAATATTTTTTAAAAAAAGGACAAACCATTTCTCTTCAGTGTCCTTTGTGTCTGAGACAAAGGCTCTGCAGATTTTGACTCATCAGCTTCCATAATCAGGTGAGCCAGTTCCTTAAAATAAATGCCATAGATAGTTAGATAGATATATAGACAGACAGACAGACAAAAAGACATATATTGGTTCTCTTTCCCTGCAGAAACCTGATTAATACTGTGATGAAAAAGAAAAGGACTGTTGCCAAACAGTCTGGGTGTCATAGAGCTCCTTGCCCCTCTGCTGAGGAACCTGCCCTGGGTAGACACACACCTTGGCCTGTCTCAGCTTCTGTCTTCTTCTCCTGTCAAGGAAGAGTGGCCTGGATGACTGCCGGGGGCCCTTTCGGTTCTACTACTCCAGGTGCCCTGAGATTCTGGGCTACTGAAAAGTGGCCAGAAAGAAGCCTCCACACCACCCCCTCTTTCCAGATTCTTTCCCACTCCAGCCCCCAACTCCAAAAGATGACAGTGGTATCAGCAAGGATGTAGGGAACTGGGCAGCAGAAGGCACTATAAACAAGGAACAGTGTGATCAAAGGCACAATGATGGCATGTGCTGCCTACCCTCAGGGAAGGGAGTGGCTTGGCGTGACAGAATCAGAAGGTGTGTAGATGGAGTGATTTCAACACTTGTGTAGCCCTTTGTGGTTTCTGAATTCCTTTCGCACCCTTCTCATGCCCACACTATGAAATCAGTATTTGTGTGCTTATTTTACAAGAAAAGGAAACAGAGGTTCTGCGGCAGCCCAGCGGGAAATCATTGGACTGAGATTTGAACTCAGATCTCTGTGCTCTTCCCCACACCAAAGAGCCTTAGATGCTGGCTGCATGACTGAGCACCTATGTTGCATGATTCTAATGACAAATGAGTGTGTAATTCATTAGACCTGTCACACTGTCTTCCTGATTCGGCAGGCAGAGTAGGGGAAAAACCAATCCAGCATTGCTTGATCCGAGGTGTTTTATATTTTGATTCCCCTCCTGCTGCCTTCTGGGAGACCTGAGAGAAGAAAAACTTTTTGATTCTAACAGTGCTGGGTACATGCATGCCCGCCTGCATGTGCACAAGGTGAAGGAGAGAATATAACTTCTTTCTCGCTTGGGGCAACTGGTTATGTCTGGAAACATTTGAACATCCCATAAAGCTCATTTCTTTTGCAAATGAGCCAGATAACACAGAACACTTCAAAGTGAAATTCCGTTGGGCTCTCCATCTGGCTGGCCTCTGGGGGAATGAGCCATGGACTGCCTTTGTTAATCAGGTCCTAGGAGTTAGGATTTTATGCTGAAATACAAATAACTATGCATTATGTGGGGAACAAAGCCAAGATATGATCTCAGCTGCATTTGGATTGAAATTCCCCACCTCTTGCTAACTCTCTCCATGCACTTGCCATCCGGAGAGAGGAGAGCAGTGAAAGTTTTCTTGTTTTCCTGCTCTGACCAGCTGTGCTCTTTCACCCTAGGAAGGCAAGCAGATGAACCCATTTACTCTGAGATAGGACTTTGGCCTGTGGGAGCCCCGATGCTCCCACAGTGTGAGCTGCTGGTGGCTCTCCAGTCTCCAGGGCAGTTCCCTGAAGAATCCTCTGGAGCAGGTTGCTCCTTCCCATGCTGCTCCCAGTGGGGAGGTTGGACAGCTAAGGCCACATTTCCCAGACTCCTTTGTGGTGAGAGTCATGGGTGTGAAGTAGGTGCCATCCACTGGGTGTATGACTTTGGAAGGAGCCAGTGAGGAAGGAAAATGATTTTCCTCTTTATTCTTGCTATTCTTTTGGGCCAGCCTCACAGGAGCATGCTATTTTTCTGCAGCTGGATTTTGTGTTCTGTCCCTTCTTAGCTCCTTCCCATCCAGAGCCTCTTGCAACTGCAGAAGCAGCAGTAGCCATGCCGTGTTGCATTCAGACAGCCCCAGTAGCATTCTCAGAGGCACCGGCCCACCCCATGGGGGTTCTGTATTGTTCTGGGAGTTCTCCCTGGAGGTAACTGGAGTCCACTCCTCTATCCTCTTCAAAACTGGGCCGAAGCCCAGCACCCTGGGAATGGCCTTTCTGCCCTAAGTGCCCAGGTGATGCATGCGTGCCCTGTGCTGGAACTGCTCTACAAAGATCTACATGAGAAATTCTTAAACAGTTTTCAAGAATTTTGTGTCTTGAGATGTTTGGGGTGGGGCAGGGAATTTACATGTCTTGGATTTTACCTGTCATCTCTGTTCCCAAATTCTGACGCTGCATCTGCTCAGCCATAACCAGTTACCTCTTCACCATGTAGATTAGCCAGAACTCTCCTAAGACATGGGACCAATAGGATGTGTGTATGTGTGATGTTTCTACAGTATACACATGGTCCCCAGCATATGATGGTTCAGCCTACAATTTTCCCACTTAACAATGGTACGGAAATGATTTGCATTCAGCAAAAACTGTACTTTGAATTTTGGTCTCTTCCCAAGGTAGTGATATGCAGGACAAGCCTCTCTTGAGATGCTGGGCTGTGGCAGTGAGCCACAGCTCCCAGTCAGCCATGCCATCTGGAAAGGAGACAACTGAGACTTACAGGGTACTGTGTGGCCAAGCCATGGTGATTGGTGGATTGAAGTAGTAAGTGAGTCTGACTTAATGATATCTTCCATGTAGGGCAGATTCATAGGGACATATCCCCAACTTAAGTTAAGATCTATATCTGTAACTCTACCTATATTTATCTGTATGCACCTCTGTCTCTCTCTGCGTCTGTCTCTGAGACTTGGCTCACATAATGCTGTGCTGTCCCCTCCCCTCCCTGCCCTCCAGCTTCACCAGCTCCCCACACTCTCCCAGCACGGTCAATGCCCTTTCCTGGCTGGGTCCAGCAGCCCGTGTTCACCCCATTTAGGACTGTCCCAGGTGGCTCTGCCCCAGCTCCCATTGCCCCAGGTTTCTTCCTATCTTGGGGGACTGTGCAGGAACCTGGGCTGTTCAACATCCCAGAATAGGGAGAGAGGCTGTGGCCAAGCAGTCTGTGGGATATGGCTCCAGGTTGGCATCCATGTCACAATCAGAGGCTGGCCCTGAGGTTGGGCTTGGCAGGGGACTGTTCTGTCCTCTTGCCTTAACACCTTACAGCATTGCCTCTCTCCTCTTGTCCCCATAATGCCCATCTAGTCTTCACAGTGCTCATGGCTGCTGCTGACCTCTGTCGGTGCTGACTAGCCTGTGTGGTTGGCAGCTATGCAAAGGAGAGGCCCGCTTCCCTGCACTGCACCTTGCTTGGCTCAGCACCCTCCACGTGGCACCCTGAGAGGAAGAAGGGCATTCCTTCCTGGTTGCCTGCCATCACTTTTGCTGTCTCCAGGACCAACCTCTTCTGTCAGATCTGGCTTCTGGCCCTGCTCGGCCTCTGGTTATGAACACCACAAGAGGTGTTGTGAGCCACTGAGATAGATAGATAGCAGGGGTTAAAGGGCACAGGTTTGGAATCAGACAGGCCTGGGTCTGAATCCCGGCTAAAACCTCTGGAATGTGTGTGGCTCCATGCTCTGAGCCTCAGCTGCCTGGTCTGATGGCAGTTAGCCAACACCCTACCTGACAAGATTGTTTTGTGGATGAAGTGAGAGGAAACTTAAGGACTCTGCTGAGCACATCTATACCCTGAACCCACAGAAGCATTCAGATGGAGAAGGAAGCACACAATGCTGGGACAGAATGAGGAAAAAACAAGTGAAATCACTCCCATATCTCTTGGCATATGTCATACAGTAGGGGCTCCACTTTGCGTGGGCAGAGGCAATGAGGCAGATGCAACAATTCCAGACACCATGTTCCCTTCCTACCAGATCTGGGTATGTTGCTCTGCCAGGCCCTGTGCGCCTTGCCAATGTCACCATTTGCCAAGTAGCACACGGTAGAAATCACATCAAATGTGTATTTTATCCTAGGTGTGTGGCATCCTCTCCATCTATAAGTATCTTCTTGCTCCATTTCTTGATCCAAGCAGTATCTTTATTTCTTAGTTCTTTTTAATGGCCCATGATTTTAGAGCTGTACATATAATGCACATTGCCTCCCTTCATGGGCTCTCAATGCCTGCAGCCCTCCCTGGTGTGCCTTAAGGCTTGGAGAGCAAGGCCCATGAGGCCACCTGGTGGGGCAGGGGCAGTACAGGCCAGGCTAGACCCTGGGTTCCATCCTCACGTCCTCTTCTGTGCAGCTGTAGGACCTTGGGCCAGTCACAGCCTAAGCCTCTGTTGCCCATTGGCTACCAACAGGTTATGGCTCTCAAATGCCAGCTTCTGAGGCATTTTATCCCCTCATCTCCAGGGCGCAGATGAAAAGAAAACTTTTCTTACCTCTCAAATTCCTGTTGACATTTCACACACAGGACCTATCCCTACTCTAACCTTGTCATAGCTTCCTTTAACAGACCCTTTGCTTCACTGTCTCTCCATTTGTCATAAAAAGTGAATGGTTAGGGCAGGGGAGTGATAGTTGAACAGAAAGCCTGAAGATGTGACTCAGTTGTGATGCAGTGCAAGCAGACATCTCTCACACCATTCTCCAAGCCTGTGCCGGTAAACTGTACCTCCTGGGACTATAGGAAGCATTTACAAATCCATGCAGACTCATCCTTTCATTCTGCAACTCACTATAACCTGAATTCAGGGCTTCTGGCCATTCTCATACACCTTTAGTTTTAGAGACACTGGTTAGCTACTTTATGAATAATATGCATTTTAATATAACCCACAAAAGGAGCCATGTGCACCCCTGGGACTCCCAGAGTTGACACAGGCAATTCTTCCCCAGTTGCCTGGCTCCAACTGTTATCCCTCCCATCAGCTTCTGTGGCATAGGAGTTACAAGCCAACAGGCAGAGGGTCAAAGATGAGCTGAAGGACTTTCAGCCACAAAGGACAAAAGAGTCCAAAATGTGGAGGGGGTGAGCAGAGGTTCCCAGCAGCTAGATGAGTTATCTGGCCCTACAACTATGGGACTTGCAAGAAAGAAGGAGCTTTCTCCCTGTAAGCCTGGGCACTGGAACTTTCTGGGCCCTGGCATGGTCTTTTGCTGGTACATAGTCTTCCAGAGGCTATTTAC